CACATTCCGTAGAGCACACAAAAATCTCCGCCACTCATTTTTATCTATTTATTAAGCCAATATAAACATGAACTAAGCCTAGCTTAATTAATAGAGCTTGTCTGGAAGAGATTTTTCAAAAATAATTTTTTTCCAAACTATTTCAACAACACATTCTCCAAAAAAGAAAAATTATTTTCCACGTGGCCCAATAAATTTCCCTCATTTTTAACTGCACATTCTCAAAAAATCATTTTTTTCCCCAAGAAAAATCTCTTCCAAACAAATGTATAATTTGTTGACAGGTTTATAAAGGAAGGATCCATAATATATTCCAACTTTTGTTTTCATTCTGCAAGATGTTCAGTTGTAACTTCATCGACCAAAATACTTGTAGAATCTAAGTTCTCCACAATCCATAAGATTTCAACTAATTCCACTCATAAATTAAAGACAATAGATAAGAAAACACTTTGACATAGTAGTATCCTGTCCAACGTGTATAAAAATGAACTTTTAGAACATTCTATGCTGACGTGGCCAACTTCAAATGCCAAAACGCTATTCACTTGGTAACAGGATAACATTTAAGATCTCAGAAGCTCGTTTGAAGTAATTCATACCTAGACAATTGACATCTTGAAAGGATAAAAACATACCGTTGAAATTTAAATTGTCTCGTTTTGTAACTGATTTGCGTTTTGTGTCCAAAATGAATTACTCTAATTAAGTAGCTTAAAAAGCACCATAAACTCCCCTCCCCACAGGAATTAAGAGTCTTTTCGATTGCAAGTATGGAATTTATGTTGAAAGAAAATTTTCAATTTAAAAAATATTATATTTATTTATTGGTAGATAGATCTGAGAGAGAGAGTACGAATTACTAGGAAAATAAAAACCTAATTCCCTAAAGAAAATATTTTTATTCTTTTTCAAGGAAAATGTGGTTGCGTGACCAAAAATATGAAAATATTTTTCCTGGGAAAAATATCAATCAAACAACACAAAAGTAGGGATTCAGATGAAAAAAATGACATTTTTCATAGAAAATATTGGCAATCAAACACGCTCTAATTGTTTTTTTTTTTTTCCAACACTTGGAACTTCTCTAAACATTAAAAAGACTAAGGGTGCGTTTGATTGCCAATATTTTTCATGAAAATTGTGTTTTTTCCACCAAAATTTCTACTTTTTTTTTTGCTGTTTGATTAACATTTTTCATAGAAAATATTTTCCTACTTTTAGTCACGTGACCATTTATCCCTCAAAATCAAGGAAAATATTTTCTTCATAATAGTATGATTTTATTTTTCAGAGAATTCATTTTTATTTCTCTCCCATCTATCTACCCACGACTAAAAAATGAGCAAATATAATATTTTCTAACTTGAAAACTAAATCAATTAAATACCTTTAATTAATAAATTCAATAAAAGTAAATTTTTTCCATGCAAATTCCATACTCTCAATCAAACGTACCCTAAAGTAAAATTGTCGAGGGAGTTTCTTTAAAGCGATAATGAAAAAAAAAATTAATGAACCAAATGATCATGGAGGAAAATTATGTCGATGATTTGTCAATGGTATTATGGTTATAATTTTGATTGAGATCAAAATCTATTGACTATTCTCACGGAATCACCAACAACAATATAATTGATAATCATAAACTCACTTCCTCAGCGATCATTGATAGCAACGTCGATGGTGTTGTTGGAAATCACCGTCGACTTCATTGGTAATTAATTACTGACGATATAGCTATTGGTGATTCTAATTGAAATTGATATATGTTGACGATTCACACAAAATTATTGACACGATGCTTGTGGCAATCATTGATAAACCTTCATAGACAACTATGACAACAATGTTGTTAGTTATGTCACTCCAAAAAATTTACTCTATCTATGCACTTTGATTTTTTAACATACTCATAAATAAGGTAAAATCACTTTATACTATTTCCTTATAATATTACCAACTTGTAAATTATTTTTTAAATTTGTTCTAATAAAAATTTTAGCTGGTGTATAATTTTTATGTTTTTATTAATTTATGTATTGATAAAATTTTCCTTGGTAAATTAAATTTTGAAAATTTGTTATATTATTCATTTTTTAACTATTTTTAATCAAAAGAATGTTTGCAATCTTTAAGAATTTTTTTTAATGTTATTAATTATTGAAGGATTTTTTTCATAAGAAAAATAATGGAAAAAATATGTGAATTTTAAAAATTGAGGAAATTCTGTAAATCGAGTAGCTAGCCTAATGCTGGAGCCTGCTTTATCGACTTATCTTGTACTAATTGTCAAATTACCTACTTTTCAAGGCTAAATTGCGTGCACATTATCATTAGCCAATAATTCTTGATTTGAAAGGCTCCACAGAGCGTATTCGGAATAGCTCAGCTGCCTTGACATTCATTCACTAATAAAAATTCAAAATAACCATCTATCTTTTTTTAGGCCCGTTTGGTACTCATTTTTTTAAAATGCATTTGTCTCTCTCTTCTTTTCAATCACACATTTTTTATTAAAATAATATTACACGTAAATTAAAAAAATTCTTATTTTTCAACCACACATTTTCCATCAATATACTATTCTAAAATGCATTTTTATATAAAAATGGCTAGCAAACGCCCTCTTAGTCTTACTATGATGAATAGCCAACTTTATCTCCTGCTAGGTGCGAATCAAAATTCAGGCAATGTTTGAGTCGCATTCTCTTCAAAAATATATATACATTTTTAAATAGTTTGACATAATTTCAGTCACACATTTTTCAATAAAATAATATTACACGTAAATTCAAAACTTATTCTCATTTTTAACTACACATTCTGTATCAATCTATTATTCTAGAATATATTCTTTCAAAATAACGTGGCCCAAACATACATTCAGATTTTAATCAAATTCAAAGTCAATAATTAATTTTGACCACACATTTTGTGGGATTCAGAACTTTTCAACCACACATTTTATCAGTTTTAATCAAAATCTACTAAAATATTGATTTTAATCCCTATCAAATCTTATTATAATGTCAATGGTCTTGTACTCTACGGGTATTTGTGTGGTTCTCGGTACATCGCTATGCAAAATGCCGTTTTTTTTAAAAATAGGTTACATTTTGTTGCGTAATACCCTTTTAGAAATGAAATTTCATATTGGAAATCATTCATTCTGATCGCAGCAAAGGCAAGTGAGCTAAGTGATGTTGCCGATGGCATTTATTGGGTTTTGACAACCTCCTTTCTAGTTTAAAAGATGGGGGGCAGTTAATTTTGAGAAACTGAAATTTTTAATGTTAAGCCCCCGTTTGCTTTCATTCTTTGGCCGCAAAAATGAAAAATATAACGGTTATTCATCACATCAAATCATAATATTTGACTTTTCATTTCTTGTGTGGATCCCGTAACAACTATATTTTTTATTTTCATTCTTACAAAAATGTGTACCAAACGGGCCTAATGTGAACTACAGAAGGTTAGTGTGTTACTATAATGTTGGGAAAATTATTAATTTATGATTACAATGGTCGAAAGCAGATTACTAGGTTGAAATTTAGATGGAATGTAGTAGAAAATAGTAAATATAATATTATTAATAAAACAAAGGAGAGAAAATGATTGGAGAGAGACTCAATTCTCACTTTTATGTCTCCCTAAAGTCTAAACTACTTACAGCGGCATGTCTATTTTTCTTTGTTGGCATTGTCCCAAACAGTTGTATATTAAATTCTCAATAATGGAGAAAATCAATTTAGATCCAGATTCAACATTGCATTTCTTATGATTAAATTATTAAGTGATGATTGTTATATCAGAAATATTCATCTAAGCAAAAATTTTAAAAAGGTAAAAAATACACCAGAATCCAAAATGAGCTAAAAATACAAGGGAAAAAAATTCATAGACAACCTTAAATACACGATGTAAACCAATATACTTGAACAAAAATGAAAAGATTAAACAGATGACTAAAATGTGAACAGATAACAGAATTAATTAGAAATCATTCGATGAAAGGCTGTCACATGTCACTAATTAAAAAAAATGTCATTCTACCCCAATATCTAGATAAAAATCTATAAATAGGCAAGTCTGTGATGAGGGAAGGCATGTTGAATTTGAAATAGCTTCCTTCCAAATAAACATTTCTCTTCTTGAGCAGCAAGACAGTGAGTTAACGAGGAGAAAACCTTGCGTAGCTGAGAGGTGCTTGTTGATCATCATTTAGAAGTTCACAATGATTAAATAAATGAGTTATGATGAACATTTAGCCAATGTTAAGTAAAATTTTAATTTAAGTCTAAGTCAAGATCAATAATGAATTTTAACCACACATTTTATGGGATCTACAACTTTCAACTACACATTTCATCGACTTTTATTAAAATATACTAAAATTCTGATTTTAATCCCCATCAAACAGAGGCTAAAAATTCAGATATTATATTACTCAAATATTAGTTAGTATTTCCGAAGGACAATATAATTTCATTGACACTATTGCTATTGCTATTGCTATTGCTATTGCTATTGCTAGTGTTTAAAAAAAACGTAATACGTGGCGATGTATGGAAGTCAAGCTATGGGTTACGTGAATTTAAGTGAGGTTTAGGCGTAAAAAGGAGTTTTCTTATTTTAATATTATTTCAATTTTTAATAAATCAAACTATTATTTAATAATTAAAAATAATACTTACTAAACATTTCAAAAAGATTTATAGGAACTTTATACATTTTTTCAAAATTTCCAACGAAAAGATAAGTTTCAAATTTAAATACAAAATAGCAAATAAATAGCATAGAAACTTAAATCTTATTTAACGTTCAAGTGGTGGTTTTAAATTTGTGCAAAACGAAGAAATTAACCATTAAATTTAAAAAAAAATAAAAAAGGATGATAATGCGTGTCAATGCGCGCATAATTGCGTTTAGGTGCGTCTAAACAATCAATGATTGTCGTTGACCGTCAAATAAGGTGTCAAACCACTTGGCTTGACGTTTTAGCCAAGCATCACACCTAAGCGCACCTTGACGGCGCCATTTAGAACACTATTGTTGCCATGGTAGATTATAATCTGCATCATGCCTCACTATAAGCAATAGAGGCTATTGCTCCTTCAACTCTAATAATTCTGTAGCAAGTTTAGCCTCGTCAATCAACCTACTAAATCTTCTCACTGCAACAAACTTGTGGCAATTTTATAGGTTTCACTTTATCCTGGGGAAGAGGAACATTTTGAAATTTTTGAGCAACATACAAATTCACCTTCAAAGATGAATTTTTAAGGATATCAACTAAAACAGGTGCCATCTTATCGATCTTCACGTTGTCACGATTCTCGCCATTAATGTAGTTGAACAAGCTGTTCAAAATTCAAACCAAATAAAATCATTCTTCGCACACTTATGACCCCTAAGGAACTTACATAAAGTTTGATATGAAAAAAGAGTTCAATTTCTTACATGATGAAACCATCACGGACTGCATTTTTGTACGACTCTGAGGCGACGGCACGAGTAGAAATCCATAAGGATTCTTTGTAACTTCGTATTTCAAATTCTTTCTCTCTACGAATCACTTGATATGGAGCACACTCTTGTTTAGCAAAGTTGATTGATGGAGGATAATGAGATCCATGTTCCTGACCCTCACATACTAATTAAAATAGGATAAAGAGGTGTACACAAACACATTTGTACAAAATGTGTTACAAACCCTCACAAAAAAGTAGATCCCGCGTGAATTTAAAAAATGTCGGCTTGTGGTCCCCATCTCCTGTTGTGAATATTGAGTAAGAAATTTTGTAAAAAAAAGTTTGTACACATAGCATAGTCCATTAAAATAAGGACAAACACAGAATGGCAAATACTAGACCTAATTTTGCCCTAAAAAAAACCCTACTTTGAGAAATGGCTATTGTTGTGTTTTTCCTCTTCCAACGGTAATGCCAATATATATACTTGGGTGGTAGGGGAACACATTTAATCCCTTGTTTGCTAATGATTAAAATAAGATTTTTAGAAGATTTTCATAGAAGCTGATGAAATGTGTGGTTGAAAAGTTGTGAATCCCTTAAAATGTATTATTAAAATAAATTGTTAACTTTGACTAGAATTAAAATCTTACTTCTAATTGCTACCAAATAGATTCTAACAATCTTGACCTGGAGAAGGAATTCTTCAAATCTAAGCTGAATTTGGATCGCTCAATATTAATTGAATTGTGCAAATACATAGCCCATGTTTGAGCCACATTTTAGGAAAAAAAATGCATTATTTATGTCAAATCAATGAAAAATGTGTGGTTAAAAAATAAGAAAAATGTTTTATATTTATGTGTAACATTATTTTATTGAAGAATGTGTAATTGAAATGATGTCAAATCATTGTTAAAAAATGTATTTTTTTGAAAATAATTTGGCTCAAACAAGCCCATAGCGTTGTTTCAAATGAAGGTGGACCTTATCACTTCGTGGACAAATAAATTATTCTATCTTTTATGGTATCATTATATAACATAAAGAGAGATGGTCAATGAATTGAACAAAATTTATTAAAACTAAGGCATGTGTTTAGCTTATGTTAAAAATCATTACATGACTTTAATACATTGGTGGATAAAAAATTAATTGAAATATTAAAACTTGTTACTGAAACTCGCTCTAAAGATCTTCTAAATGGTGTTTTCCAAGCTCAATTTCACGTTACCTTTCTCTATCAAACAACTAATCTAAATTGCTCCAATCGACAATCAATATTTAGCCTGGCTGCTTATTAATTTTACCCACAAAAGACAAGACAATGGTGATGATTTGTAGCCATGAAGTACAAAGAGGACGCCAAATATGCGATGGAAGTAATCGATTTTTCTTCACTATGGCAACCGATTTTTGATCTTAGGAGCATTCACATTTTTTCTACAATTCATACACAAATCACACAATTAGACAGCTTGGTCAAAGCAACGTTATATATAGGAATATGTTAGGTTTTAGTTGGACCTATAAAAGAGTTCAATGGACCAAGATTCAAAACCATCCAATAGGTATATATATATATATATATATATATATATATAAGCCATGAGCAACATTAATTTTTTAAGTTACTTCCAATGGTCCACGTTGTTTTCGGGTCTAACATTTGGGCTTGGTTATTGGTAATCAATTCAACATTAACTGCGGAATATGAAATTATATTCCAATATTTACATCATAACCTAAGATTCATTGGGTATAAAACCCAACAAATTTCTAGCTAGATACACAATTAACCTGCAATCAATCAAAACGCAATGTTAATATTTGCATAATCAAGATAACCAATGAAATTGGGGTCACAAACCTTCCTTGTTTTTGGGATTGAAAACACATACATATTTTCTCTATATACTCACCAGGGCTAAGGTCAAAAACACCAAAGTAAAAGCAGATAATAACAGTAAACAATCTAGAGCAAATAAATATTCGATGAAGATATAAAATAAGATAACATATAGATTTTTCAAAAAATAATTTTACACAGAACAACGGATTTTACCAAGTTAATCAATCAAGCGGCTAATACATATGCAACAAATGCATAAATGATCTCACTTACCATACTTATCCTATCTCATTCCATATGACTCACACCTTGGGAACACATATCTCCTCTCATCGCCCATTATGCTCACTAGACTGATTATTCAACTCATGTCTAACTGATAAATCGCACTAGATCCTAAGCCCATAGAATAATCCTCTATCACCACATCACCTCTCCCAACCTAAGTGGATAATGGATCTCCGGCAATAGAAATGATAGAAGTGTCCCTCTCAAACTCCACTTGATCAGAGTTTTCTTAGATAAAGGATTCCAATATTTAATCACACCTCCACTCAAGATTCAGATTTCACACTCCACATCTCCGGACATACTATCGATGTACCTCTAGGCATCTATGCTCCATATCATCAATAGACACAACACACTTGTTGCTAATGCATTCCAACCCACTATGTATGCAAATACATTATACAAAGTAATTAGATAGCTACTAAATTCATGTAAATGTACATATCAAATACATTGAAACGTAACATATAACCATGCAATAAAATTAAGCAATTACATACATGCAAAAATGATCACACATAGATGATAAACCTCATTAGGGTTGAGTGGCCACATTTGCCTCACCTCTCATCTCACCATTTTACTTATCCTTCTTCTTCGGATAATCATTTACAAAGTGTTTTGACTTACCATAGCCGCAACATCGCTTACCACTAAACTTGTCCCAACCTTTTATCATTCTTCTTACTACCTTAATCACTTGAGTCATTGCTATATTGAGTTCTATCCAAATTCATTTGCTCAAACTTCATCATACTCTTCATAATCTATAACCCATCACTCCTCTTATCATCTTTTTCAACCTTAAGTTTTGTCTACTTACTTCTAAAGAAATCAATAACAATCTCGGACGTTAAGGTGCCTACCATAATCTCATTTTTAACCTCCATATATGAGTCAGACATTAAATTCGGCAAAATAATGGCCTTATAAGTTTTAGACGCCTTCTCTTTACAACTAATAATATTTTGCATAAGTTTGTTAAATACACCTAAATTGTTATCAAAATCCTTTGAACAATCCATTTTAAAACTGAAAAAATCTTTCAAGTAAATACAACTTATTAAGAGTAAATTTAAGCAAATATAAGTTCTCCAACTTTTTTCAAAGTTATGTAGTATAATCAAGTTTTTAAATGTTTCTTAAAATAGTATCAGATAGGTGTAAAATAATTGAGATGTAAACAAGTTCATCATATTTTTCTTTTTTTGTTTCCGTTAAATTTGTAAGAGATTCGCTATATATGACTTTTCAAACTTTTGGTTAAACTAAAATCACTTTCGTCTTTTGTTGCCAAATAGAAAATTTCTCTTTTCCATTGAAAGTTTCAACTTCAAAATTTGAAGATATTTTGAAAAAACAGAACAATCAAAGAGCATAAATAGGTCATACAAGGTAATCCTAAAACTGTAATATATACCGTTCTAGATTCTTATGATTTCATAAGATTCAAGGTCTTAGTGTCAAGGGAATATTCAAATGGGTCAAGTCTAGGTGTTCTAACATAATAATCAATGCAATACGAAGGTATGTCAACAAAAATTCAGTTTCTTACACAATATGGTCTCACATAGTGACTTAATGGCAATTAAAAATAAAAGCAATTATCAACTTTTAGTTAAATTCAACACTTTAAATATGACACATAATTCCTAAATTTCTTGTACAAGCAATGGTTACCCTACATGGTAACCCCAATCCTAATATCACCCTACATGATGACTTGCTGATTCTAAAATTTAAAATGAGATAAGCCAATATACCAAAGTGGATTAATCTGAGTCTGTAAATAATGAGAGATGTCAATTACCACTTTAGGATCACTACTATTAGCCTTAAAGTCCCTAGCTATTGTAGAAATCAATCAACCACGAATGAATCCCAAACGTGCAAAGGACAAATTCGTCCAAATTTTATTATATAACCTGATACAGAAGACTAACAATACTAAATTATAAGAAATAATGTTAGGAACAAACTGCCTAAAGACACTGAATCGCATGTACTGTTGGAGTCTCTGTGCATGGGCTTCACATGTCGCTACACTTACCGTCTAGATTGGTTTATACATCGATCACTCCGATGTGCCTCCACTTGCACGCCATGTAGGTAGTCTCCGTTTCACCAAACTCCTTCTGATTTGGCCAAACATGGCACTAACAACTTCGATTTTTAATAGTTTTTAGATAACTTTTTAATCTGCTTAATGCTTTGATTCTCACACTTTTTCTAGTCATTTTAGGTCATATTTTTAAGCCAAATCTACCACTTTGAAGTTTTGACACCAATTGTAGTGGAAGCTCGCTCCAAATATATTTTAAATGGTGTTTTTCATATTCAATTTCACGTTACTTTTCTCTACCAAACAATCAACCCAAACTACTCCAATCCTCAACCAATAGTTACCTTGATCGCTTCTCAATCTCATCTACAAAGGACAAGACAAATGGTGTTTATTTGTAGCCACAAAGTGAAGAAGAAAGACAATGAAGAAGAGGCCAAATATGCAATGGAAGTCACCGATTTTTTCTTCACTATGGCAATTGATTTTTGGTCTAAGGAACAACTACATTTTTCTCCAATTTATATGCAAATCACACAATTAGACGACTAGATCAAAGCAACATATATAATGTGTTATACTTTAATTGGACAATAAAAGGGTTAAATGGGCCAAGATTCAAAGCTATCCAATAGAAAAATATATATCAGTCGTGAACAACATTAATTTCTTAAACTACTTCCAATGTTTACATCATAGCCTGGGACCTCTGAATTGGTTGTTGATAATCAATTCACCAATGATCGAGGCCTGTAAAATTATATTCCTACATTTACATCATAGCCCAGATTCATTGGGTATTAAAACCTAGCAAAACTTACGATAAGTTTATTCATTAGTCAATTAATGTGTCAGGTCCACATTGTTTAGCATAAACTTTGAACCGATGCATCATAGATCATTATTATTAATGATTCATAGAATATGTTCGCTTGTAAAAAATCGTAATTTGTGGATAGAACTATTACTCTGGCATACCCTTTGATACGTGTAAGTTTGATACTTATTTAGGTCATTAAAATTGAATATTTAGACGTTTATTCAAATAAATTACTACTTAATTCGTTTAAATATCGATTATTGTAGGAAAAACTTGAATTTGGATGCAATTGTAGTGAAAATAAGTGAAATTGAAGCTTAAAATGAGTCTTTTCAGAGTTTGGAACCAGAGTGTAAATACTCAAAGTTGACTCAAATCTCACATTGAAAAATGTGAAGAATGAATTAGACGAGAATAGAAGACAACGGACAAAAATTGCAGGAAAAGGACTAAATCAACTCTCAAAGAAGTTAAGGGACAATATAACTTTCTTTCTTTTTTTTTTATAACCATGGGTGTTTGGGCCAGCTTGCGCGCACCTCAACTAATCCCACGGGACTCTGAAATTTATAGCCGGATACTCACCTCAGTCGTTCTGAGGGGACTTGAACTGGTGACCATTGGGGAGTAAACCCAAAGCCTGACCACTGAGCTACCTTTCAGGGTTCAGGGACAATATAACTAAACTTGCGCATGATGTAAATGGGAATGCACATGCAAAACCTAAGGCCAAATTTGTTGAACCATGCATGAGCATGGAGTACTTTCCTGGAAGACGAGAACTTTCGTTCTATGATTGAAACTCCTTTTGGAAACTATCTTTAGACAATTTTTTGATCTAAACTCGACACTTATAAATACTGGACATTTCTTATAACCTTAGGGAACCTCTCATATCATATAATTTATGAAATATTGTAATCAAAGAATGGCAAACCATCATTCTTTTAGGAAAATCAAGAGTCAAGCTATAAGAATTCACTCATTTGAAGGTTCAACCTTGAGTTTTGGGCAAAGAAGAAGAAAGTGCAATTGAAGACAATCAAGAAACTGTCGAGAGATTCAAGAACTTCAAAATTTTTCATATTTTTCTTAATTCATCAAAATCCAAGTGAAATTCTACAAAACATTTGGCCACCTAATATGTATTTATTCTTGAATGATTGTTTAAGGCTTTGCAATTACTTGATCATTCATTGAATTAGTGTGTGAATTTTAATTTTATTATTATTGAGAGAGACAATAAGATAGATAACACATTATAACAATTTTGTGAGGTCCGATAGATGATAGAGATATACCTTTGTGCCTTACATAATTTAGTAGACGTTCTAAAATTTTTAGTTCATGATCTCTTTGCATCTTTCATAAAGATATAAAAATGTCACGTGATAGATTTAATTCTACTCGAGAGAGATTATTAAATAATTTAAAAACATTTATCAACAAGAATGAATATATATTGTCATGATGTCGATTTGCATTAAATTAGAATAATAAGAGGATTCGAAGTTTTAATAAATATTCAACCTAAGTTTACAAAAAGCTTTCACAATTAGCTCATTAAAATATTTAGTTTAAATAGTTATTTAGTATAATTTCTTTATACAAACTTAAGTATTCGATTGGAGTTAATATTAATTGATTTTAAATTAAAACATAGTTTTCGTGGGATGCTTATCTTATATACTGGGTACTTGCAAGATTTCATACGATCACCCTCCAAAAAAGATTCGAACACAAGTTAATAAGCTTCACTTTTACTACTTGAATTAGACTTGATCTCATCAAATTCAGATTTGAATTCATTAAAATATGAATACAAAATCACGAGTTCTTGAGAGAGAGAAAAAAATTACTAGAGGAAAGTGAACTCATTAATAAACAGTAAAATAAGTACGGTTAAGGAGAGAATCAATCTTTCAAAATTGTCTTTCAGAATTGGATTGGTGAAGGCGTCTTGCAGAGTTGAGAATCATAAAATTCTATTAGATATTAAATATTAAAAATATTAAAACATAAATAATCATTATTTATGTTTGGATAGTTACCTCAAAATGTGCCAAATATTTTCATCCCAATTTAAATATGAAACAAAAGAAACTTTGTTAACCAATTACCAAATTAGATATAACTCCGTGCTTGATTTTTGCTATTGGAAATGTTC